GCCTTGTCTTAAAGGAAATCACGTTTTGGAATTAAAGTCTCCACTGAGATTTCCTTCTGGTACCAAGATTCTGTCAGTTGACCAGGCAGAATAAAAACAGAAGATAACTGATGGTTAGCGTATTTGTTTTTATTCATCATGTGTGTGCTAAACCTGCTACCACTTTAGAATTTGAAATCTAGGTGGTAAATGCACCTGTACTTCAGTTGGCTATTGACTTTAGGCAAACTAGTTCATATAGAAAACATTTACTCCAAGTTCACAAAAAAAAGAGAGAGAGAGAGGTAGTGCTACACTGCTTATTTTTGTGAAATAGCAGTCCGATCTGGCACATTCAGTGTTTTTCCAAGAAAAGGGTACTCCACAAAGGAGTTTTCCTTGAGTATGTGCAGGAAAGACAGCAGGCGCACACGAGAGAAATAGATTCTCTTGCACTTGAGCTCAGAAAAGGCACAAGGAATTGAGATGTTTCTCTGGAAGCAATGATCATTTGTCGAGCTGACACATGGAGGTTTTCTAAGACAAGCTTAGAATAATGATAGTAATGTTTTTAAGAGTTGATTCATACTCAGTTGAAGGAAACATCATCATAATGAACATGCTTGATATCAAAGGCCAACTGAAGAGTTTCATGCAAAATTGCTTCTAGCTAGGCCAGCCAACTAATGGTGTAAGTTGTCAAGAAGAGTGATACGGATGCCAAGAGGATAAATTCACACGTGCATGTTAGTTGGTGGAAGAAACCATGTAAGAAACCAGAGGAAGAAAGTAGAAAAATCACTTACTTGTAGTAACAGTAACTGACTACTCAAATAGTTCGTTTTAGGATTTTAGGGCTTTGAATGCATGCAGACTTTGAAGGTCAAGAGATCCCAGTCTGACTCCTGGCTCTGCCACATAAAATCTGTTTGATTTTTGACTCTGGCCAAAGTAATGTCTCTGACACTAAGTTTCCTCAACTATGTAAAGTGAATAATGTGAAGAATACCTTCTTTCTTGTTGAGGAGTCAATGAGTTAATTATAAAGTTTGTAGCACACCGGTATTGTTTTTAATTGAAGAATAGTTGACATACATTATATTAGTTTCAGGTGTACAACATAGTGATTCAACATTTATCTACACTGCAAAATGGTCACCATGAAAAGTCTAGTACCATCTGTCACCACAAGTATTTTGAAATATTTTTTTTTTTTTAGAATTAGAGACATTGATCTGATTCTCAAACAGCTTGCAGATTAAGTGCAAGTCTCAAAAAAAAAATTACTTCCAGCTGCTTTAAGAATAATGCTACATTTTTGTTGTTGTTGTTTTTCCAAACTTACAGTCAACTCTAGACAAGACGCCGATAAGTAAGGAGAAAAGTATATTAGAGCTGCAGTTGAAAATCAAGTACCTGCAAGGGCCAGGAAGGCAATATGAATGAATGAAGTGGTCCTGGTGGAGAATGTAGTCCAGTGGAGAGTGCATGTCCTCTTAAAGGAACTGACCCCCATGCAGCTGAGCTGTGTCATGCAGGAAAGCAGGTTCATCGTTAATGGACATTCTGATTTTTCAGTGGAAGACTTAGTAGAATTTTTAAAATATTTCCTGTTTTTAAAAAATTGGCAACTAATTAAAATAAATACTGGATGGGCAGAAAATATGTGAGTAAGGAATGTATGTATATGAGTGCAAGCGTGTGTGTGTGTGTGTGTGTGTGTGTGTGATTGTAGGCATGGAGTAGGGTGAGCAGTGGGGTGCATGGGGGAAGCTAACATACCACATAAGTACGAAGCACATGAAGAGTTCCAAAGTCAAGATGGACAATGAGGCAATGAGGAGCTATTAATAGTTCAGAATGCCTGGTGCACTGACATCACAGTAGGGAGTGTGGGAAGAGGAAGATGGAGAGAGAAGTGGAGGCCAGATCTTTCGTGTTATGCCAGCTGTGCTAAGGATTTGACACTAGTCATGACAATGACTGGTCTCTGAAGGGCATCAAACAGGAATGGCAGAATCAAATTTTCACATTTGCTTGATCTCTCTGATTGCAAAATGGTGAACAGATGGAAAGAGTCAGGGCTGAGGATAGGAAGATCATTTAGAAGGTTGTTGCAGGGATTCAAGTTGGGATGAGGGGGGTTGCCATAAGACCGGTGGTTCTGGGTGTGGAAAGAAGCAGGTAGGTTCAGGAATATCTGGGAGAGCAAATCCACAGGGCTGAGTTGGAGGAGAAGGGCTGTGGGCTAGAAGGAGGAGGGAAGATTGTGGCTGCATTTCTGTATAGTATTCAGGTTTCACCAAAGATTCACACCTCCAACAACACTCAACACATAGTAGGTAAGGTTGTCAGGAAATGGAAAGCGCTAATTACCTGATTGGGGGGTGAGTGTGTGGGCAGGTAGCATCTTTTTCGAATTATTCTATCCTTAATCTACACATCACCTCTCCATAAAGAAAAAGAAGCCTAACCTCTAGTTTTTCTCCCTTGTAAAGAATAAAAAGCAGTCAGGTGAAAAATGAAATTTAGTTCATTATGCAATTTAGTTCATAGTTCGTTGTGCCATTGTGTTTTGTCAGAATCTGGGACTTGAAATGATCCCCCTGTTTGGGGTCATTCTCACCACACTCTATATGTCTCAAACCTCAAGGATGCATTTCTGCCAGAAAAACCACCCCAGCCACCTTCTTCTCCATTTATAAACTTGTTGACTAAGTAAGTCACACACAAGAAAATGTGCAATATATCTTGCATTCCACCTCTACTATAAGAAAAATGCCACTAAAAAGATAGCTGAAGAGTTATTCAAATCCACCGCAGGGAGTGACTACAAAATAAGGGAAAAAAATAAAACAAAACATTTGACTACATAAATCCTCCCCTCTTTATTCTATGCAATCTCTAGGAAAGAAATAATGAACCTTCCTCTATGATCTGCTTGTATTTATAATTGATTTGTCTTGTGGTTAACAGGAGATTTACTCACTAAAATTGAGACAGACAGGAGAATGCAATTTTGCTTTGACCTCCTGGCCTGCCTGGGTGTCACTTATCAGAACTGAAAATACAATGGAGTTTTATCGTTACTTCAGAATAAGAGACTAAATTAATCCTTTAGGAACATTCTCTGTCTTTAGATGCTGCCAGTGTCTACCATACATATATTTGTGGGTCTGATGACCTGGTGTGATTCAGGGGAGGCAGAATCCTCCCTACTCCCACCCTGTACTCCCACCATCCCCATATCCAATTATTTTCTTATCCACCCTGCCAAGCTGGCTGATGCCAGAAATTTTTTAGGTTCAATATTTATTTCTTTAACTCACAGCTTTGTTTCTTGTTTAACATCTGTATTCTTGACCTGAGATAACACATTTGAAATTAACATCTGTATCCACCTTGATGAGAATTTATTTTTTTCTGGTCATTTGCTGGACTGAGATTTAATAAAGTTGTAGCATCAGGGACTAGAAATGAATGAGGCTCAGAAAGGAGAGCTGACATATACAGACAGTATGTGACAAGTCATTCCTGCTCTTGTTTTCCAACACACCTTCGCCTCCTCTCTACTAGTACACCTGCAGACCTTGAAGACCTGCGCATGTCCTCCATTTATCTGTGCATATGGACTTGAGCCCAAAGCTTCAGATTTGAAGCAGAATTTTTGTTCTTTTTGTTTGTTTTGTTTTGTTTTGTTTTGAGGAAGATTGGCCCTGCATTAACATGTGTTGCCAATCTTCTTCTTTTTCTTTTTTCTCCTCAAAGCCCCAGTACATGGTTATGTATCATAGTTGTAGAGTTGTAGCTCTTCTATATGGGATGCTGCCTCAGCATGGCCTGATGAGCGGTGAGCAGGTCTACGCCCAGGATCCGAACCGGCGAACCCAGGGCCTCTGAATGGGCAAACTTAACCACTACGTCACCAGGCAGGCCCCAGAACTTGAGTTCTTTAAGGGCAGGCTGGATTTGTGTCTTCTCTGGAATCTCCCAGAATTCCCAACACCAAATAAATATCTGCTGATGAGATTTAGCTTAATTTCTTGGCTTGTTGTCTCTCAGTACACATTTTTCTGATAACAGAGGTTTAGGCTGGTGGAATGCTGGATTTCCAATAGTAACAAAACACTCTGCCACTTTGAATCTACTCTGTTCTTGAATAATTTGCAATGAGCACTGCAAATCTCTCTGAAACCTTCAAGATGTACCCTCAGCAGAAAGTTGGGTTACCATCCTATTCTGTATTCCAGAAGGAGAAATTTGACTTCCAAGTAGTAATGTGAAGGTAATCTCTAGAATCAATCAGCATACGTATACATATATTAACAAAGTACTGGTTCTAGCAATTGTGAAGGCTCAAGAGAAGGGATAGCAAAGAGCAATGATTGAGGATGTACTGTATTCCATAGTCCTCACTAAGCCTTACCATAAACACATGAAACAGACTTTTACTCTTATTTTACAGATAAGTAGCTGATGCTTAGGTGATTCAGTGGTCAATATGGCTAATCAGCTCATGAAGTGGAGTTTGACTCCATGTCTGTCTGGTCCCAAAGTCCACCCTCTTTCTAGTACATTGCACTGTGCTGCATAAACGTTACAAAGCTTATTGCACTTTTCTAACTCGGAGTGCATAACAGCTTGCTTCTAACTTTGCCAGAAGGGACAATCTAGCTCTGTGCATTCTACTTCAGATAAATGGTCTGCTGTAGACTAAGAACATGTTTTATTTCATTTTCAAGGAACATGGCCATCTAAAGTTTGTATCTTAAACATGTAATGTGCAGGGTTCTACATAAACTATAGTCTTTTTTTTGAATGAGGAGGTTTTCCAGCATGGAAAGATATGCATTTTTCCCAGTCTCTTTGAATTGCTAATTCTTATTGGAAAATTTAATGGAAAAATTTAACACAGCATGACAACAGAACAATAGTTAACTATTACTAATGCTGATATTAAACCTAAAAAAGGTAAATCCTATGATATCTTATATTTTATTATTTTATTTTTCACCTCGTAGGAGGAACATCATCAAGACAGAAGGGCTTCCTAGGATGCATACGCTCTTTACACTTGAATGGGCAGAAATTGGACCTGGAGGAGAGGGCAAAGGTCACGTCTGGAGTCCGGCCAGGATGCCCAGGCCATTGCAGCAGTTACGGCAGCATCTGCCACAATGGGGGCCAGTGTGTGGAGAAGCACAGTGGATACTTCTGCGATTGCACCAACTCACCATACGAAGGGCCCTTTTGCAAAAAAGGTACAGTAGGCACTTCTGTTTTTCCCATGTGCTGTGTTGTGGCGCCTACAGGCTATGGTCAAGTCGTAGGATACCCATGCCCTGAGACAGTCCTCAAATAATCACTTACTCTCCCTCAGTTCCCCCCTGTCTAGAGACTTTGCATGGCTCCTTGACATAATTCTACATACTCATTATCACTGTGTGTGGACACTTGCAGTAACAGTTCACCTGGGTGGATGGTAACAGGGCAACGTGGTCTCATGGCCAGGAGCCAGCTGAACACTGGCAAAGGTGAACTCGTTTCTGTTGTATCAGACAGATCATGAGGGCACACTAAACTTTCCAGCTCGAATACCTCAGTCCACAAATATAATCAAAGAATCGTAGAATCCAGCCCTGGAGGAACCTTAGAAACCCTTAAGCCATCTTAAACCATTTTTACAATAGGGAGAGTATAGATAAGTTAGTAAAATCAATATCGTATATCTTGTAAAATTTTTCTATTCTGCAGGTGACATGAGTGGGGTCTGTGGCTTTAAACACCCTGCCTGAAGATTCACATTTAGTTCATCAGGGGGCTGAGAATGGAACACAGGAGTCAAAATTCTGGCCCCAGGGCCTTTCCACATCCCCTCCTAAGCTTATGAATTCATTGCATTCACAAAAGCTAACAATGATGGATACATACCTTGTACAAAGAATGATGGTCATAGTGTAAATTCTCTAGGTAAATTCAAAATAACTCTATAAACTATAAAATCTCACTATTCAGTGTAAATAAGTAGTATTTTTCAAATAGAGGCAGAAAAGATTTGGTCTCCCAGCAATCTTGGCAGAATTTTTAAGTTTATTTTAGTGATGGAAAAAAAGTTTATTGAGCAAATAATGTAAACATATTTTAAGAACAGCATTAGTTTAAATGTTTAAATATTTAAAAATAAAATATTTTAATCTCTTTGAAACACCATTCACATACAAACAATGGTGGCAATTATAAATAATTTTGTCAATTCATTAAAGCACATTTCCCAAGCACCTCTACCAAACAATGCTTTATTTAGTCCAACTTACTGTTGGAACTTAAAAACAATAGGGAAAAAAAGCACCTAGTGTTCTTCTCTTTGAAGGACTCTGTAATTTAAGCTTTTCATTCATTTATACTGGCCTTCTCCCCAATTAGTGTGAATTACTTGTTATTCCTGGGAAGCATTGTGCTCCTTTGGGGAAAATTAATGGTCAAATTTTAGGACCAACAGAGTGTTGGGCCCTGCATGGGAGCTTGAAATAAAGCAGGTCCCATCCCAGGAGGCTTTTAATGGGAGCTAAGCAAGAAACGTGCTACTGGATTTTCACACTAGGGGAGGTCTGTGAATAACTTCCCCTGAAAAATTTGAATGCTACCATTAGACTGGGCCCACATGCTAGAAGAAGCAGATATAGAATAAACGCTACCAGGCCCAGTCACTGAAGTACACTCGCATTGTTTCACAGGATCTATGCCCAGATCTTCTATTTGGGAAAAAAAAAAGGAGCATTAGACCTCTCTGCATTTCTTCAGAGACATTGCTCAAATATCTCATAGATCATATTGTTCCAAATTTAGCCTAATTTTTCATTGACTCCTTTCTCTGAAACAACTCCTATTAATTATCTTCTGTCCATGCCACTGTGTCTTTTGACTGCATTTGTTGAAATATGCTCGGTGCTCTCTTCCTACTTTTTACTTTGATCTATAAGTAAAATAGATAAATATATGCTTAGCCTTTTCAGCTTGCTTCATATTTCATTGTTTCCAAACTTTTTCCCCTATCTCATAAATCCAAGGAAATGATTCTCCTTATATTCAGCAGTTGCAAAGTATGTACGATGAAGCTTTTAACAAAGCTTTTTAGCCATGCCAGTTGCCTCTGGGAAATGTCGCTTGGAACTGAAATGGGAGACTTTAGCTACAAGATAGTCCTGAATAAGGGTGCTCTCTATAGGGGTAGATTTTAATGCTAACTTACTATGGCCTGTATACTTTAGGGTATGCAAATACTGGAAATATCTGGGGGTGGAACTAGAGACTTTTGTCCATGATCCATGCCTGAGATAGAACCATGATCCTTTGACCCACTTTTTGTTTCTGATTACGGTACAAAGGAATAATAATCATAAAATTAGCTAGTAATTATTGACTACAACATTTATTCCTATCCCCAATCTAGGAGGGAAGATAGTATTATCTGTGTTTAACATATAAGAACATTAATGGTCACAGAGGTTTGGTGACTTGCTAATAAAAATCATAGTTGGAGGTCCATCCAGCATCTTTTTGGTTCCTTTTTTCCCTTTACAACCCTGATTTCATTCTGTACAAGAATGTGGTAATAGGATTTAAATATGTAGTTTTTTGTTTTGTGTGTTTCTCTCTCTTTATTATTGAGATTTAATTTACATACCATAAAATCCACCCTTTTAAAATGGACAATTCAGGAGATTTTAGCATATTCACAAAGTTGCACAACCATTACCACTACCTAGTTTCAGAATTTCTTCATCATCTCCGAAAGAAATCTTATATCCATTGGCAGATACTCCCCATTCACCTCTCTCCCAGTCCCGGGAAATCACTAATCTATTTTCTGTCACTATGGATTTGCCTATCTGGATATTTCATATAAATAGAATCATACAGTATGTGGTCTTCTTGTATCTGGTTTCTTTAACTTAGTATAATGTTTTCAAGGTTCATGTATGTTGTGGAATTTTCAGTACTGAATTCCATTTTATTTCCAAAAGAGTATTCCACTGTATGGATGCACCACATTTTGTTTATCCATTCATCAGTTGATGGACATTGGGATTCCAATTTTTTGGCTATTATGAAAAACGCTGCTATTAACATTCATGTACATGTTTTGTATGGACTTATGTTTTCTATTTCCTTGGGTATATACCTGGATGTGGGATTGCTAGGTCATATAGTAACTATAAGTGTAACTTTTTTTTTGTTTGTTTTCCTTTTCTTTTTTAATTGAGGTAAAATTGGTATGTAACATTATATATGTTTCAGGTGTATAACATTATAATTTGACATCTGTATACACTACAAAGTGATCACCACCAAAAGTCTGGTTACCATCCATCACCATACAATTGACCACCTTCTGCCATTTTGCCCACCCCCAACCCCCTTGCCACTTCCCCAATCTATTTTCTGTATCTATGCATTTGTTTTTACTTTGTTTTGTTTGTTCATTTTTTTTTAGAGTCCACATATGAGTGAAATCATACGGTATTTGGCTTTCTCAGTTTGACTTATTTCACTTAGAATAATACCCTCAAGTTTCGTCCAGATTGTTGCAAATGGCAAGATTTTGTTCTTTTTTATGGCTGAGTAGTATTCCATTATATATGTATACCACTTCTTTATCCATTCATCCATCAATACACACTTTGGTTGTTTGCATGTCTTGGCTATTATAAATAATGCTGCAATGAACATAGGGGTGCATATATTTTTTTGAATTAGTGTTTTCATATTTTTCAGATAAGTACTCAGAAGTGGAATAACTGGATTATGTGGCGGTTCTATTCTTAATTTTTTGAGGATTCTTCATACTGTTTTCTATAGTGGCTGCACCAATTTACATTCCCACCAACAATGTACAAGAGTTCCTTTTTCTCCACATCTTCTTTGACACTTATTTCTTCTCTTTTTGATAATAGTCACTCTAAGAGGTGGGAAGTGATATCTCTTTGTGGTTTTGATTTGCATTTCACTAATAATTAGTGATGCTGTACATCTTTTCATTTTCCTGTTGGCCATCTGTATGTCTTCTTTGGAAAAATGTCTATTTGGGCCCTCTGCCCATTTTTTAATTGCGTTGTTTGCTTTTTTGTCATTGACTTATATGAGTTTTTTATATATTTTGGATATTAACCCCTTGTAGGATATAGATTTGCATATATTTTCTCTCATTCACTAGGTTGTCTTTTCATTTTGTTGATGGTTTCCTTTGCTGTGCAGAAGCTTTTTAGTTTGATGTGGTCCCATTTGTTTATTTTTGCTTTTGGTTCCTTGGCCTTTGGTGTAAGATCCACAAGAACATCAGTAAGACTGATGTCAAGGATCTTACTGCCTATGTTTTCTTCCAGGAATTTTATGATTTCAGGTCTTACATTCAAGTCTTTAATCCATTTTGGGTTAATTTTTGTGTATGGTGTAAGATAGTGATCTAGTTTTATTTTCTGCATGTGGCTGTCCAGTTTCCCAAACGCCGTTTATTGAAGAGACTATCCTTTCTCCATTGTATGTTCTTGGCTCCTTTGATGTAAATTAATTGTTCATATATGTGTGAATTTATTTCTGGGCTCTCAATTCTGCTCCACTGATCTGTGTGTCTGTTTTTATGCCAATATTGTCCTGTTTTCATTACTATCGCTTTGTAGTATAGTTTGAAATCAGGGAGCATGATACCTTTAGCTCTGTTCTTCTTTCTCAAAAATTGCTTTGGCTATTCAGGATCTTTTGTGATTCCATACAAATTTTAGAGTTATTTGTTTTAGTTCTGTGAAAAATGCAATTTGAATGTTTTAGGAGATTGCAGTGAATCTGTATAGTGCTTTGAGTAATATGGATGTTTTAACACTATTAGTTCTTCCAATCCATGAGCACAGGATTTTGAATTTTGAATTTTTTTTTTTTTTTGCTGAGCAATTTTTCGCTGAGCTAACATCTGTTGCCAATCTTCCTCTTTTTGCTTGAGGAGGATTGGCCCTGAGCTAACATCTGTGCCCATCTTCCTCTATTTTGTATGTGGGTTGCTGCCACAGCATGGCCACCAATGGGTGATGTAGGCCTGCAGCGGGGAACCAAATCCTGGATGCCAAACCGGAATCCACAGAGCTTAAGTGCTAGGCAACAGGGAGGCCCGAAAATATTTTTTCATTTATTTGTCCATTCTTCATTTTTTTCATCAGTGTCCTATAGTTTTCAGTGTATAGGTCTTTCACTTCCTCGGTTAAATTTATCCCTAGGTATTTTATTCTTTTTCATTCAATTGGAAATGGGATTGGGATTTGCTTTCTTAATTTCTTTTTCTGATAGTTTGTTGTTAGTGAATAGAAACTCCACAGATTTTGGTATATTGATTTTGTATCCTGCAACTTTACTGAATTTGTTTGTTAGTTCTATCAGGTTTTTAGTGGAGTATTTAGAGTTTTCCAGGCATATTGTATTTGTAAATAGTGACAGTTTTACTTATTCCTTTCCTGTTTAACTTTTTGAGGAACTGCCAGATGTTTTCAAAGTGGCTGCTCTATTTTACATTCTCACCAGCAGTGTAAGAAGATTCCAATTTCTCCACATCCAGCCAACCCTTTTTCTGTGTGTCTTTTTGATAATAGACATCCTACTGTGAATGTGTGAAATGGTATCTGTGGTTTTGACTTGCATTTCTCCAATGACCTAATAATGTTGAACAGCTTTTCAAGTTCTTACTGGCTGTGTGTACATCTTCTTTGGTGAAATATCGGTTCAAATCTTTTGCCCGTGTTTTAATTGGGTTGTTTTTCTTTTTATTGTTCAGTTAGAGAAATTCTTTGTATATTCTGAATATAATTCCCATATTAGTTATATGATTTGCAAATATTTTCTCCTCTTTTCACTTTTTTTTTTTTTTGTGAGGAAGATCAGCCCTGTGCTAACATGTACCAATCCTCCTCTTTTTTTGCTGAGGAAGACTGGCCCTGGGCTAACATCTGTGCCCATCTTTCTCCACTTTATATGGGATGCCGCCACAGCATGGTTTGCCAAGCGATGTGTTGGTGCACGCCCAGGATCTGAACTGGTGAACCCCAGGCTGCCGCAGTGGAGCGCGTGCACCCAACCGCTTGTGCCACTGGGCCAGCCCCTCTTTTCACTTTCTTAACAGTATCTTTTGAAGCACAAAGTTTGTAATTTTGATGAAGTCCCTTTTATCTATTTTTTCTTTTGTTGTTTATGCTTTTAGTGTTATATTTAAGACAGTATTGTCTAATCAAAGGTCATGAAAATTTATGTCTATGGTTTCTTCTAAAGTTTTTATAGTTTTAGCTCTTACATTTAGTCTTTGATCCATTTTGAGTTAATTTTTGTATATTGTGTGAGGTAGGGATCCAACTTCATTCTTTCGCATGTGTATATCCAGTTATTCCAGCATATTTGTTGATGTGTGCTTGTCTTTAGCCCACCTCCACACCCACCATTATCTGATGAATCTGAGTATGACTGTCATGGTGTTGTCATTTAAATCTTTTTGTATTAAAAACATTAAGTAATATATTTGGAATACTATTTGGGAATCTAGAAAAATAAAACCCAATTTAATTACTCAAGGACTGTTTACTGTGATACAAACACATTGATAAACATATTATTTCCTCAGTCATGGAATTTCAGTGAAAAAATAGCATATATATTTAGGTACTCTTTACCAATTGCCAAAAACTTGTTGAAAAAATTTCCTAATATTTACCTTCCTGCCAACTTATATCATTTTTTTTACTTTTTTATTACAGAAAAACTCAATTGTACACTGTAGTAGAAGGGAGTTTCAGAACCCGCATGCATCCATCATCTAGTTTCAACAATTTTCAACTCGTGACCATTTTTATTTCATCTATATGCTCAAGTCTGCTCCTCCTCTTTTGTTTTGAAGCAAATTCCAGATATCACATCATCTCATCTATAAACATTGTAATATGTATTGCTAAAAGATGAGAACTCATAAAAACGCATATCCACAGGACCATTATCATAAGAAAAATTTAATAATAAGATTTTAATATTATGAAGTATCTACTCAGCATTAAAATTGCCATTTGATTCATTTATTTTTAGTTTGTTTGATGTTTTCCTAAATAAATTACAGCCTGGCTGATTTCTAAGTAACCACTAGCCTACTCATTACCCAGGACTGGTCTTTATGCTTATCCTAATTCTAAATTTGATTATATTACTATCATTAAGACCAGCTATTGTTTATTGAGTTCCTGCTATGTGCCATGATTTTGATAATTTCTTCCAATCCTTCTACCCACCACAAGATTGAATTCATCCCTGTTTATATTTGAATAACCTGAGGTTGAGTGGGATTCTGTAAGAAAGCTGGAGAAGGGCACAGCCAGGTTGCAGTTTCTGGGTCAATGAGACTCCACAGCTGGCTCAGAGACACATACCATCTCCAGCATCACCCTGTCCCCTAGCTACTTCTTTTAGTGTACCCCACACTTTAAGGCCTAGTCAATGCCTGGCTTCTCTTTTAGGCCTTCTTAGGCTACTATGGCCCACAGAGATACCCAACTTTGAGAATTATTTCCTCTGTCACTCACACATTATACTCTAGGCTACCTTCCATTGGTGTAATTTTTTAAAATGTGTGTCCTGTCCTCTCAGAGTAGAATCAGCACAGTTCCTTCCACCAAGTAAGAGCTCAAAGGAAGCTGCTAATATTGATATTGTGGTCCTGGGGTAGCATGGTAGTCATTGATAATCACCTTCAAGTTAGGATTTTTCTTCCATATATCCCAATGGTTTTGGATGTTCAGACAAATCAATCAGAGAGCTTAAATATGATCAGAGAGCATAAACTCTTAGATTATAAAATGTAAGAAACTGAGAAAATAATAGACTCCAGGTGTTTTGCTGAATTTAGTTTTATGTTGAAATTGAAAATATCTAGACAATAAAAATAATTAGAACTGGAGTTAGGGGAGGAGGGAGGACAGAAATTTGGTAGGAAATTTCTAGTTAAAAAATGCTTTCCATTTTAATTTCCTGTCTTAAGAAAAATATGTAATAAATTTAAAAAATGTAATATATATGCCCATATCTAATATACTGTTAATAACGAAATGCTCTGAATTATACTTACATTTGAACATACACACAAATATCAAATAAAAGCCCTTCTTCTGTTAACTAGGAGATGGTAGCTCAAAATGCAGATCAAATGTCCCTGAGAAAATTTGCTCAAGGAAAGCGCTTGAATCAAGCTGATGGTTAACCAAATCCTCACTGTCACAAGTCTCTGCTGCATGTCTTCTGATCAGGAGTACTAATGTTGTAACCTGTATGGTACATGCAAAACACTTTCTCTGAACCTTTAGTAAGAAGGAACTGGTGTTCCCAATCTGCTAAGCAATATGCATAAATATGCAACTTTAATTTTTTTGGCACTGCTACAGGCTGTTATAGAATTTTCACAAAGGTAGAACAAGTTTGTAATAGAAGTAAGAAGCAAAAGCCGGGTTTGATTATGTTCTAGGTGCCACCAGTTCAATCAAAGAATATCATGGGGAACTAGGAACATTCCACGTATCACTTAGGAAAAAGAAAAATTAATCATGCCAATATGGGTTCATGTTGATTGTGCTGTTTTTATAGTGGTGGTTTGCTGCTGGATCCAAACTACGTTGTTCTATGAAGGAAACTTTCTTCCGTACCCTGATACTGTATAGAGATAAAATTGAAAGTGAACTTAAGAGCAGGCTTGATTGAAAGAAGAGAGTATCTCAGCATTTGGACAGATATTCAGTCAATAAACAGATATATTTTATGAAGGAAATTGAAATGGGTTCAGGTTAAATTCTCTTCCAGTATGGAGAAGAGTCAGTTGAAACTGTGGTGGGTAACTCTCTTAAGTGCTTTACACACATCATCTCATTTATTCATACAGAAATATTGTTGGAGTAAGTGTTATGGTTCCCATTCACCAGATGAGAAAACAGTCTCCACAGGGTTCACTGACTTGCCTGGGACCACACAGCTCGTATGAAATCAAGTGGGGCTTCAGATCCAGTGCTGAAGCCAAAACCTGTGCTGGTTTCACTAAAGTAAAATGATAACAGTTGGAGAGAGGACATTATACAGGGAGGATTGGGTGATGTGCATGTTCCTGTTAATTGAATGTCATCAGTTTATAGATGGCTCCTTTCTTCACGGTGGTGACAGAACTCTATCCAATGTGTTGTGTTATAGGAATTGTTTCCCATGGGAAGACCTATTTGCCCAAGTCTTTGTTCGCTTTTTGGAATTGAATACCAATTACTAGACATCTAAAAAATTGAGTGCATGATTTGGATACCTATGCCTTTTCTACTGTTTCCATGGATTTCCGCTCTCTCTCACGAGGCCTCACACTTCCCCCAACATCACAGAGAATTACTGCTGCCTTCCCAATGACGTACTCTCAGTAATTTAGATCCCAATCAAAATCTTCTTGACACATGAGAGACACATAAACCCAAACTGTTAGAATCTCAGTTTTGAATAGGTTGGTCCCAGTAAAATTTCTCTATACTATGTTGGAGGCAGGGACATTTTATTTTTGCTTCTCAAGAAATTAGCCTGGCACATGGTAGTTATTCTGCAAATACGTGTTAAACTGGACCTAAACTTCACAATGCCAATCTGAGCTCTCTCTTCTAGCTATGCAACCTAGTTCAAGGTGCTCAACCTCTGTAAGCCTCATGTTTCTCATTTGCAAATAAGAGTGACTTCTGCTGCTTCAAAATTATTGTGGGAAGCATATTATACAATTCATGTAAAAACCCTCACACAGTGCCTGATGCATAGGAAACAATAAACAAGCTATTATTGCTATCCTGAATAGCTGAATAAGTGTTTTAATATGTGTTTTCTCCTTTTATATTTTGCAGAGGTTTCTGCTGTTTTTGAGGCTGGCACTTCGGTTACTTACCTGTTTCAAGAACCATACCCAGTGACCAAGAATACAAGCCTGTCATCCTCAGCAATTTATGCAGATTCAGCTCCATCCAAGGAAAACATTGCATTTAGCTTTGTGACAGTCCAGGCACCCAGCCTCTTGCTCTATATTAATTCTTCTTCTCAGGACTTCCTGGCTGTCCTGCTCTGCAAGAATGGTGAGTACTGATGGCATGAAGCCTGATGGAGTGTCATACTGGGCAGGAGGGACAGTGCATGCCCTCCAGAACTCTGCGTAATTTCAACCTAAATTTGGTCCCACCAGGGCAGCTTATTTCCAGACCTCTAGCCAAACCCTTGATTGTGCTTTACCTTTATGATTTGCAATTGGTGTTCAGGGCCAGTGTCAAATCATTGCTGAAGTCTCAAATGCATTGACTTTAATTTGCCTCAACTGTGTAGCAGTAATTCTTTATTATTTATTCTGTGCTGGAAGCCATTAAGTGTAAAGGAGAAGATCATAAGCATATCTGAGTTTCAGAAGGACACTCGTCACATATATCCTGTCATCTTTGCTGCAGTCTCCTTTACTGAGGGCTGTTAAAACAACTAGCATAAATGCAGGCTGTTTTAATAAAAGTTGATTGCCTAGGTCTTGGAGAGAAGTAGTATATGTGAGTCATTACCTTGTGGAATATGGGGCTTGGTTCTGAGAATCAGATTTTGAAAAGAATATGGACAGAATGGAATATGTGAAGATTAGAGTGATAAAGGAGCTGGCCCACTTCATACAAGGAATGTTGAAGGATGTCGGTTTTGACAGCTGTTAAGGGAAGTCAGGTTTTCTTCTCGTACTACTTAATTTCACCCTGCAAATGATGAGGACTGTTGATATAGTCATGACCAAGACACTATGAGATCAAAATCCTAGAGGATGGAACAATGTTAGAATAGGCAAAGATGTGGACATCCCTGTAGTTGGTCTCAAAGAATATGTTCCTGTGATCAAGAATATATCTTTCCTCCTCTTGTAACTTGCTAGTATAATGAGATGAGTCTGGGGTAGATGGACTGTGGAGGGGCCTAGGAGAAAGGAAACCTGTGATATGCAGCACATGCTGTGCCCTCTCTAGATTTTAGATACTCTAGATATTTCTCTTGCTCTAATTTTTCTTGGATTTATTCTTTATGTCATCTTGCTTTCTGACTATTTACAACATTGAAAATAAAGAATGATATTTGGGCCTCAAGCAAGGATCAAAACTGGTGGGCTTGTGGGTTGAATCAGGTCTAAAGTACAATAATAACAATAATGGCTAACTGTAAGCAACAGGACTCATTCAATCTCAGAGCAAAATGGAAGGGAAGAAAAAAAGAGAGAGAGAGACTAGGATAATGACTGGTCATTCCAAGACGATCTGGTCTTGAAGACTCTATAAGAGATAAGGAAACGTTATTAGTTATTTGACTTTATTATCAGCAGACCTTTGTATGATTAGGACCATTATATCAACATGTCAGTTCTTAAACCCTGCCCCCATAATGTCTCTGTGAGGTCCATAAGGCTGGCTGAGGACACTGAAGCATGGATTAACTGATTGATGTGGGCCAGTCAGCTAATCCATGACACAGCTGGAACCAGAATCCAGGTCTCCTGATAAGCATCCCAGCAATCTTTCTGTTAAAGTAGATCATTGTGCTATGATATGGTTGGACTATAGTAAGATGGTTACAGAGCTCTGAGTTGCAAGATTTCCTCCAAATTATCTTTTGAGTATGGTTCCACAGGCACATTTGTACCTACCATACTGTGCTTATGGATACAGACAGTGCATAACAGGCATAACCATATCAGATTATGTATATATTACTCTATATATTCTATTATAAACATATATTTTTTTTTCCTTGGGCACTATTCTAGTTAATATACACAGCATTTAATTCTCATGGCAACCCTGTGTGATTGGTGGTATTAATATACCCAGTACCTTATAATTGTAGAAACTAAGGCATGTAGATGTTAAATAACTTACTTAAAAATCCCACAGCAAGTAAGGACAAGAGCTGGGATTCACTCCTCCCTCCTTGAGTCTGGTAGTGTATTTCTGTATTCTTAACCAGAAGGGCTAACCTAAGAGTGTTTATTTTTTGAAACACATCGTGTTTTAAATAAGTTGAGTCATTTAATTGGGAAGGCATTCTTGAATTCTGCCTTATCCCCTATTTTCTTAGACTTTGATGCTTCACTTCACTTAGACACAACTAAGATATATGCTCATTCATTTTGTTCTTCCGTTGACTCTTTGAGTAATTCCTAGTCCCACTGCACAGTATCAGGAACTGTGGAGACCAACAAAGATAAGCAGGATTGGGTGCTGTCTAAACATGATAAGGAAAAAGAGAGACTCAAAAACTGCCTTAAACTCTTTGAAAGACAATCTAGATACACGAGGGAGTCAAGTAGCCAGATTTCTCAAGCAATCTAAATAGAAGTAAGATTTTGCCTAACTTTAAGGATAAATCTCCCTGGTATTCAGGGATTATAATAATAGAGTAAAATACGTTGAGTGATAGTGAATTCCTTGTCATTAGAGTTCTTCAAATAATAATTAAATGATAATTTATTAGAGAAACCATAATAAGAATTCCAGTAGTGGATGGCAGAGAAAAATAATCTCTGAGTTTCTTTCCAAGTTTTAGATTTTGTGATTCTCAATTCCCTTTTTGTGTAGTCTTACATTTATATTTTTTTCTGCTGGGGCTTTATTTGAAGACTTTGAAATGCTTCTATGAGGAGTTAAGAATTGATATGCTTGCAACTTGTTGCCAGTATGTTCATAGTATTAGGCTTCAGACCTAATTGCCAGTGAATATTATGGGGGACACTGCATTGTAAGGAGCTAGGAATATTTTTAATGTGACTTTGATATACTTCAGTGGTAAATATACCTCTGAGAAGACTAATGAAAGTTAAGAATACTTACAGGTTATAAAAAAGATTACGAGAGAAAGGATAGTAAAGGGTTAACTGGGGCAAGTCCTTCTTTGGAAGAGATTTTATAATAAGATTGATTCTCACCTCTGTGAGATGGAGTTACGAGTCTTCTGTTAGTACAGGTTTCTAAACCTTTCTTTGATTTAAGACACCTTTGGGAATCTGGTGGAAATTATGATGAAAGGGTCACTCTTAAAAGCAGTTCTTTCTGTTCTACTCAGGAGGAAGAAAATGCCCCCAGCCACGTCATACAAATGGCTCCAATTTCAGCACTCTGGGTTAAGAAGCCAGGTGTGGAGACAGGTGGATGAACTGTGTAAATACTGAACAAAATTCTTGGCTTGCAAATTTTATTTAATAAGGCTGTCCAGGCCAGAGGGGAGAAGAACAATGTGATTCAAAGTCATGCTTACAAGTTTCTCCCTGGCAGGGGTTTGATTTGGCAGGTCTGGAATTCTTCTTTGCCCTTTATCATTTTTCTTGAATTTTCTCCAACTAGAGACATATTCAGGTTAAGCTGCTGCTGTCTTTTCGAATGAAAACAGGTCTTTCTTCCTAAAGGAAGAAAAGGATTTTAATTTCTGGGATGGAAGAATAGAGGCAGAAAGGAAGGCATTTTGGGCTCAGTCCTTAGGAAAGAGCAGGCAGTTGTCTTTCCTAAGAAGCCCCTGGAGCTTTGGCTCACAGCGAACTTCTCAGAGACGTGGCAACCGGAGAAGGGACGTTTGAAGGAGGAAAAGGGTCTAGAGAAGGAGATGAGAGTTCTAAACATACACCTAACCTTCACAGCGTTTTATTGAGTGATGCCCCTGCCTTCTCCACAGTATCGTGGAGTTCTCCTTCAAGCTTGTCATTTAACAAGTATTCACAGAGCATCTATCATGTGGCAGGCACTATTTCACATATAGAGAGACAGAGATAGACAGGATCCTGTCCTGCCTTTAAAGATCTAGTCTGGGGACAGAGACATAACAAATAAGGATAACAAGGTGTCATGGATGCTAGCGTGGAGGTCTGTTCCAGGGACAGTGAGGCAAAGAAGGAAAGGGTGACCAATTCCTTCTGGGAGGGAGGATCAGAAGAGGCTTCACGGAGATAGTGAGCCTTGAGATGGGCCATGAAAGATAAGTCAGTGTTTTCCAGGCAAACATTATTTTCTTTTTTAACAAAATAAGACATTTCTTTGATTATTCCCCATTTTCTATATTTTAGTCCCACTGCATATGAAACATATTTTTTTCTACCAATCAATTCCCTTTTCTATTCTTTCATCATCTGTCCTTCTTGGCTTCTCGAGGGTAGAAATAAAAAATCAAATTTAGTATATGTGCTAATTCTAAGGTCATCAATCTAAGGTGAAATCATCTGTGTACAAAATCTAAACAGGGCTCCCAGGTCACCTTCCCACGGTGGCTGTTCAGCTGCCCTCCAGCACCGAACGGTTCTTCTGACTTTGCTTCAGCACTTCCTTTTTATCAATCTTTTTTTTAACACATACATTCATAAGATGCACTGTCTGCCTTTGTGATTGCACACACCTTGGAGGGAATAGTGATGAATGCAGACACTTTACATTTCCACAGACTGATTCAAGGGAGGCAGGGACAAGGAGGAAACCAGAAAGGGAGCGTCTTCAAAGTACAAGCTTCAACAGCTGCCCGCCAGGGCTGGGTTGACCCTAGAACACCCCTGCCCTTGCTGCTTTCTCAAGGAAGACCTTGAGAGTTTGATGCTGCCCCCACCACCTCTCTGACACAGGCAGATGCCTGAGTTCCTCAGAGCAGCAGGAATCCTGGTAAAACAGCCGGAGAAAAGCATGCCTCAGAAGGCTTGTTTCCTTGGCCTTATTAAGCCCTGACCACTTCAGTCTCTGGGCTTGTGTCAAGCAACAGTTTGCTACTTTTGAATTTAAAATTCCCAGGTGTCTTTTTATATCTCCCAGATGGACTTTTTATTGGTTGGTTCATTTCCTACATTTCGGAGCTTTCCAATAGTCTCTTCGTATCTGGGGGATACGAAGTCCTGCTGAGCTTCCCTCCTCCATTTCACAATAGTGTTGTTATGACACACTGTGACCTTGAGAGGGTGATCAAGAGTCCTGCCTCCTCACCTCTCCCTCCTAGAGGAAGGACAATGATATGGGCAGGAACAAATGGCATCTCCAGAGTCATACGGGTAGTCCACCCTGCCGAGGGTGGGCCTAAGTGGAGCAATGGAAGC